AAAGACAGCATGGGTCGGAACGACTATTGCTGACGAGATAAAATGGCAGCACTGGAGGCTATGTTGCCACAGGAGCTGGAATCCCACATCCAGCTTAACCAGAGCCGATTCACGACGTACGATGATGTACTCGACGAAGTGACTCGCTTTATCGAGTACAAGACAGGAAAGAGTCTGAAGGTGATATCCGGTGCAGCCGCTAACGCGGCGAGCAAGGATGATCCTATGGACTTATCGTACGTGGAGCGGCCAAAGGGAAAAGGAAAAGGAGACAAGACTTGCAACACCTGCGGCAGGTCAGGGCATTTTGCCCGAGACAGCTGGTACGGTGGAGGCAAAGGAAAGCAAGGAAAGGGTTCACCCAAGGGTCCAGGGCAACAACAGCAGCAGCAGAAGCAGAACACAAAGGGGAACCCTAAGGGCAAAGGAAAACAAGGCAAGAAAGAAGGAAAAGGAAAGAAAGGTGGAAAAGGCAAGAAAGGTGGAAAACACAAGAAGCAGGTAGGTAATGTAGAAGGAGAAGAGGCAACAGGAGAACAGGAGTACGAAGGAGAGGAAGAAGGCGAAGGCTGGGAACACGGAGACTGGGGAGAAGACTGGGAGGAAGGCTGGGAGCAACCTCTACGTCGGGGCGCTAGAGAAAGAAGAGAACAAGAGAGAGAGAAAGAAAGAGCGAGGGTCAAAGCCAGACTCCGGTAGTCGTGGCTCAAGTAGAGGAACGGGTCTTAGCCCGACCGCGCTTGGGGCCATGGCGCCGAAGAAAGGAAAAGGAAAAGGAAAGGGAAAAGGAAAGGACGAAGATGAGGAGGAGCTTTGGGCCCTCGAGGAACTCTTCGACCAGACAAGAGAGCAGCTGCAGGATCTGAGGAAAAGGATGGAGAGCGCCAAGAGGCGCAGAGTCCAGCTTCGGGGCGTTTTCGTCCTCGTCGCGAGGACCCGTGGAGCGCGAGCCAAAGGCCGGACCACAGAAGAGGGAAAAGAAAGAACAGAAAGAGGAAGTGAAGAAGGAGAGGTCTAAGGCTCTTTCTGAGGCACCCTGGCGGCGCGGTTCGCGCTACCAGGAGCCTCCGCAGCCAACGCCTCCTAAGGCAGCAGCGAGGCCGGAGCGAGCTAGAACGCCGCCTCCGAAGCCAGCTCAGCCGAAGACTCCTCCCAAGACTCCGCCACCTGCGAGAGGAAAGGCGAGCACCCCAGGTCGGAGTCCGCTTCCGAAGGCGCAGCCAACGCCAAAGAAAGAGGAGAAGAAAGAGGAAAAGGAAGAGGAGAGCCAGGAGGAGAAGAACGAGAAGCTCGTAGACCACACGGCGGCTCCAAAGTGGAAGGCAGGAGTCGGGAGGCCGACACTGCTTCCCAAGCCAAAGCTCCTGAAGAGCCCGGCTTCGTGGGCAGGCATGCGCTTCAGAGACCGCGTGGCCCACCAGGATGCCATCAGGTCCAAGAGCCCGAAAGGCACCCTAGGTGAGGCTTTGCTGAAGAAGCAGGGCGAGGCTTGCTCTACGTGCCGGAACAGAAGGACGAGGTTCCGTAAGGACGCGGGACGCATCCTCAAGAAGAGGATGAAGGAGTACAAAGCAGCAGCTGCCAAGGCAGCGGGCTCTCACTACGCCCGGAAAGTCCTGGAAAGAGAGAAGCTTGTGAGGGCCGATCGGCCCAGCAAGGACGAGCTAAGGAGCCCGCGGGTTAAGAAGCCCGAGGGCGAAGAAAAGGAGAAAGAAGAGGAAAGCGACCAGGAGGACAAGGTCTCCTACCAAGCCAGAGGCAAGAGGACGCAGCGCAGCAGCAACAGCAGCAGCCGAGCCAGAGGCAAGAGGATGCTGGTGACGATCGGTTCGCCGAGGAGCCGGAGGCTCCAGGTGAAGAGCAGCAAAGGGCTGTGGTGCCGAAGAGTCCAGACCAACCCACGGCCGACCAGATCACACAGCACGAAGCCTCGGGGCATGCAGTACACCGTTCTTGGTGTGTTCACTGCCAGAGGGCACGCAAGATGGTCAACCCGCATCGCAAGGTTCGACGGGCCGAGCTTGAGACCTCGTTGCCGACGCTTCATATGGACTACTTCTTCTTGGGCAAAGACAACCAAGAGGATGATGTGATGCCACACCTGGTGGTACGGTGCGACAAGACACGCCGCACTTGGGCCACGTCTCTGCCAGAGAAGGGGACACACCCCTACAACGTGACGTGGTTGGCAGGCATCATTCGCGAGGCCGGTTGGAAGAAGATGTGTCTGTTTTCGGACAACGAGAATGCCATGAAGGCACTCAAGCGTAAGGCCAGCGAAGAGGTGAAAGGTGTGGAGTTTGATCTACGAGAATGCCCTACGAGCACAGAGCATGAAAACGCACCAGCCAACGGTGTGGCAGAAGCAGCTGTGAAAGAAGTGAAGAGGATGGTGAGAGCTATCGTGTCGGAGCTGGAGACAAATCTCAAGATCGAGGTTGGCGTGGATCACCCGATTCTCGCCTGGATCGCGAGACACGCAGCATTTCTCTTGACACGTTTTCGCATAGGCGAAGACGGCAAGTCAGCTTCTGAGCGAACGCTGGGTCGACCTTGGAGACGGCCGACCATTGTCTTCGGTGAACAGGTGATGTTCAAACCTGTCGGAGGAAAGCACAAGCGTGGAAGCCTTGACAACAGGGTTTCTATGGGTCGGTACATTGGGACTGCATCTCGCAATGCAGATCTGATGATCATGACAGGCGACGGCGTAACCCGGGGCCACTCCGTGCACAGGAGGCTCGATGCCGACAAGTGGCCTGCTGAAGGATTCGCTGGGTTGCGCGGGCTGCCCTGGAGGATGACTGGTCCACAGGAACTTGCGCAACCAAATAGGGTTGGCATGCCAGCACTCGAAGGCACCGCAACAGCGAGACTTCAAAGCACGGAACTTGTATGTCATGAAATCCGACATAGAACTATACGGATATACGCCCCAATGCCCGGGGTGCGATGCGCAGCTGATGGGTCTCCCGCAGCGCGCGCATAATGATGAATGCCGTATGAGAGTGCAGAGAAAGCTGCAAGAGACAGAAGAAGGAAAGGAGAGAGTGAAGAGGGCCCAAGAAAGGGTCGAGTCGAGAAGGACTACGGGAGAAAGGTCAAGAAGGACCAGCCTGCTTTGGAAGGAAGACCTGCACCTGACGCCATGGAGGGCGCACCACTGGCGAGGCCAATGGAGGTCGAGGAACCCCAAGCCTCAAGAGCACAGCGGAAAAGAGCGCCCTCCAAGGACGTCGAGGACCTTTATCGGGAGGAGCCCACACGGGGTGCCACCGATGGTCCAGATGTGGAGGTTGTTGGAGCCAACCTGTACGGAGGTGCAAGTGGTTCCGCAGGACCGGGTCTAGACCACTCTCGACGCCAAGCACAAGCCGATGCAGAGATGCACGACGCAGCGGCGAATCCGCCGCCTGCTAGCGAGGATGCTCAGATTGGGCTGATCACAAGGATGTTCGAGCAGAAGGGCATGAGGTGTAGCCCCGCCGAGGCGAAGGCTATAAACTCTATGGTTCGTCAGTTGGGAAGGAATCGCAATGCGGCTGTGCTTTGGAGCACAGTGAACGAAGGCATCATCCTTCCGATGGACCTGGAGGTAACCATGTTCAAGCAAGCTGAACACCTGCGTTTCTTCGAAAAGTTGGAACGCGTGAAGCCTAAGCTCCTGATAGGGAGACTGCCCACCGGACCGTTTCAGTCCGTGCAGCGCGCCTTTGACACCACCAACAATGTGGGAGCTGAAGCCAGGCGCGAGAACCTGAAGAAGTCGCGTTCACAACTTGGACTTTGCTTTGAGGCCTTCCAGGCACAGGTGGAAGCAGGGAACTACTTCCTCTACGAGTGCCCAAGGGGTGCAAAATCCTGGGAGCATGAACTTGCTCAAAGGATGGACGCGCACTTGGTTGAAGGGCCAATGTGCGAATGGAAAGTGGACGAGAGCGGCAAGCTCATTGCAGGGCAATCGGGCAAGAGGCGCACCCGCTGGATTACTGATTCCGCGACGGTCGCGACAGCTTTGGAAAAGCTCTGCAAGGACTCTGGGAAGGTATGGAACAGAGAGCTTTCTTTCAAGGAGGGGATCGTACAGGCTAAAGCCGAGTACCCTCCGAAGCTCGAAAGGGCAGTGCTTGCAGGAGTCAGAGCACAGCTGGTCCTAGATGGAGAGATGAGGGAGGTAGGACACGTTGGAGGGCCAGACCCTCACGAAGAACCACCTCTGGAAGAGTATCTCCATGAATCGCTTCCGAAGGCAAGTGAACTCTACGTGAAGGAACCTGTCATTGATGCGAATACTGGGGCCGAGTTAGACCCAAGGAAAGTCGCAGAGGCAAGAGCCTCCGAGTTAGCTTGGGTAAAGAAGCAAGGAGTGTATGATAAGGTCGATGAAAGCATATGTTGGTCGGAGACTGGCCGTCCGCCAATTACCCTGAAATGGGTAGACCGCAACAAAGGGGATGATGTGAAGGAGAACTTCAGATCCAGATTGGTCGTCCGCGAGGTCAAGAGCCAGGGACAAGCGGCGCTAATCCCGGACTACGCGTTGTTCTCTTCCATGCCGCCTTTGGAAGGATTGAAAATCCTATGCTCGTTGCTTACGAGTATGAAGCGGTCAGCTTCAGGGAAACAACTGAGCTTGAAATTGACCGATATATCACGTGCGCATTTTATGGCAAAGCAGAACGCTGAGTGTTCGTCACACTTCGCGAAGGAGACGAAGAGCCCGGCAAATGCGGCCTGGTAAAACGCACGATGTACGGCACGAGAGACGCTTCAGCCGTCTGGCAAAGGTCCTGCACTACACTTCTGAAGAAGCACGGTTTCCAGACCGGGAAAGCGTATCCATGTACTTTCTATCACGCCGAAATGGACGTGAGACTTCTGGTGCATGGTGATGACTTCCTCGTTCTAGCTGACGAGGATGGTCACCGCTTCGTGGACAAATCCTGTCTGAGGAGTACGAGTTCAAGTGCGATGGTCACATAGGGCCTGGATGCGAGAAAGACAGCATGACTGTTCTGAACCGGGTTGTGACCTATGACCGTACGACGGGAACTGCCACCTATGAGGCGGATCCAAGGCACGCCGAGGCGCTAATCCGTGACCTTGGAATGGAAACTGCTAAACCAGCAAAGACACCAGCAGAGAAGAAGAAAGGCAGCGACCTGAAAGCAATGCTGGAGTCACAGCCGTTGAACGCCGAACTTGCAAAGCAATATCGTTCACACACGATGCGGGCAGCGTTCCTAGCACAGGACCGCCCGGACATTGCAGAAGCAACCAAGAGTTTGGCGAGGCACATGAAGGAACCCACTGAGTTCGCATGGGCCGACTTGAAGAGGTTTGTCCGCTACCTGCGCGGCAACCCACGGCTGATGTATGAGTACCATCCGCAGCGAATGAGCAAAGAGATCGTAATGTATTGCGACTCGGATCACGCGGGATGTCTCATCACGCGGAGGTCCACCACAGGACTCGTGACAATGCTAGGATTTCACTGTGTCAAGCACTCTTCGAATGTGCAGAGTACAATCTCCCTGTCGAGCGGGGAGAGTGAGTTCTATGCAATCGTCAGAGCGGGATCCATAGGATTATCGCTGCAGGCGATGCTAGAGGACTGGGGACTGAAGGTCGGACTTAGGATCCGGTCAGATTCCTCAGCGGCCCGAGGCACTACTCAACGTCAGGGCCTGGGTCAGGCACGCCACGTGCAAACGCGGTACTTGTGGGTACAGGAAAAGGTGGCAACGCGAGCTCTGGAGCTGGAGCGCGTTGGCACAGAAAAGAACTACAGTGACATCTGTACGAAGCCAATGCCTGAAGTGGCAATGCTGAAACACCTCAAGAGCATGGGACTGCGTTTTCATGCTGGTCGAGCCGGAGCAGCCAAGCGGCTCGTGTAAGCCAATGGGTCAATACGACCACCTGGCTTAGGAGGGGTGATTGGATTTGTAGCTGTCACGTAGCATGTTTCACATAGCATGTACATATACGCATGACATTGGCTCAAGCCGTCAAGAAAAGAAGCACCGTGCGGGTGTTAGTTCTGCCTTAAACTCCGTTCACTGCGGCACTCGATTCGTACCTCGTGACGAGGGACGAGTTACGACTATGTGTGCTAGCCCGATAAATCTTCCCACCGAAACCATCGCAGGTGTTTCGGCTAGAAACTTTAGTTTCTATCGCTATCTACTGCTATCGGCGACAGTGATGCAGTGCCTGTCTGAGCAGTGATAGCGTGACAGTATGACTTGGAATGGCGAGGAACACCCTGTGCATATCCGTGGCCATTCTGGATAAAGTCCCCCTTTGGGGGGGTAATTTTTAGGGATGGCTAGCCGAAGGCTAGCGAAGATCTCCAGGCTAACTGGGATTTGTGCCACATCCATGAAAAAGGAGAGTTGTCGCCTGCTGCTGTGTTGTTAGCTCGTTGTCGTTACTCGGCTAGTACGGCTACTCCAGCGAGTTCCCACCCCGGTGGCCTGCAGGGGATGGTGGTGGGTTAGATTGGGCTAGTGCACGAATAGATTATGTCGCTGCTTCATAATGTGGTCGGCATGAGTAGCGCATCGTCGTGCATATCGGATTGGATAAACCCTGAGGTAGCTGTTGCATGTGTTACACGGGCACACGTGGGCTCTCAGAGGACTTGTGCTCACCGGCGAAAACGTGAGTTCGAAAGCTATTCTAATGGCTGGCTCTTTGGAAGTACAGGGTTCCCTTGAAATCTTTTCTTCCCATTGGCATCCACATATCTCGACATTAGCTTTGGAGCATTAAGATTCTTGGTCTTGGCGTCGGAAGCATCTGAGCCGTAGTTCGGAAAATCTGGATACCGGGGGAGTTGCTGAATAGCTTTGTCCTTTTCATTGTAGGATTCCCCCAAGCTCGCATCCAGAAGGCTTGAGAATAAACCTGGGTCATGTAGCATGGGACTCAAGCAACAGTTTGGTGATGCTTCCAGAGTTATGGAGGCTCAACAGAAGAAACCCAACATGCACTGATCTGGCAGCAGACATGGCTCACTCTTTTGATCCACTCAAACCTGGGGTGCTTCATCACTATTGATGACCGAGGTTGTTCGAGTACCCACGTACCATCGATGGCCATGAGAACGGCCAAGGCCAGGCAAGTCCTGGCGTGCATAGGTTTATATACCGGTATCTAAGGACATGTGGGTCACTTGCAACAGTGGGTGAGCGGTCCGAGCAGCAAGTAGGTTGCCTGCTGTAGCGGCAGGCGAGGATTGGTGACCCAAGGGGGTCCAATAAGTTCTGCCCGTAGATCCAGCAGAGATTGAGACCCAAGACCCGCAGACCAAGCCGAATGCGCCCAGGAAACGGCTTGGCTTCCCTCGAAGGATGCAATTGAGCAGCAGCCTCAATTCTCAGCTCCACAACAAGCTACACAGTGATATGCATCTATATCATTACAGCGAGGGACAGGAACCCAGCAGAAGTGAATAGATCAAGAGGGTTGTTGCAGTCGGCAACCACATCGATAGCATCCAGTACCTCGTAGCTTTATATGACCCCGGCAAAAGCACATCCTTTGCAGGAGACCAACCAAACACCCATGGAGGTATACTGCCTACTACAGCCGCGTGAAGCACGACTCCTGCCTCGGTGAAGTTGATGTTCTCAGTGTAGAACAAAACCACCACGATAAGTATCAGAACCTGAGCATCCCGAGTCATGGCAGGAAGCCCGTCGCATGTATCATCCTCACAGAATCTATAGACCTCAGACAAGGAGCCCCCGGGGCATTCATGGTTAACAAGTTGCTGAGAAGGCAGTGTGTAGACGTCGTTCATCCATGATCACGATCACAAGTGAAGCTCATGTGAAACGGTTCGGTCGGTCTCTTGAGAAGGACATAAGCTGCAGGTTGCAGTCCCACACATATGCAAGTAAACTCGCACCCACAAAAGCACCGTATAAATGACTTGCATGAGCACAACAACTGCCCTGCAAAATCATCTGAGGGTTGCTGGGCACCTGTCTCGAGGGGTGGGCCATGCTGGTGCGGCGAAGTTTGGCAGCTCGGCTCATCACAGACCTGTCATGCCAGCAGCTGATTCAGAACATCACAAAAGGCTTGCCAACAGATGTCGAGTCAGTTGCTCCTGCTTATGCACCGACTGCCGAAGCTGCGAATTTTTCACTCCTGCCTGATCGGAGCTGCGTGTCACATATCGTATGTGAAACAGCGGGAACAAAGAACACATAATTGTTCGGCCTGATCGAAGTGCATAGGTTTTGCGATTGGACTCGCCCCATACACACGTACACATCACACGTGTGATTTGGTAGCCTTGTATAGCCGTGTAGGCGTAGAGTTTCCTGTTCACCGTAGCACGGGCTCAAGGGTAGATGAGGCCCCTTTTGAGTTTGCTGCTTTTCAGCAGCCAGTTTCACAGAACTCAACCGTGGCAATGGCCATGGCTTACTAACCACAGCCTGCCAGAGGCTCCCCAAACCTGCGCTTCCCACGATGACTCCTGCGGCGCGACTTCGCGGCCGGGAAACGCCAGCTGGTGGAGGGAATGGTGGGTCCAGTTTTTCATGGACCCCGCCGTAGAGGAAGAAGGACAGCCGGAGGATGAGCCTTCTCCACCTTGGATCTTGCGGGTCGCGTTGAAATTCCTGCTCATGTTTGTAAAGGGAGGGATTGAATACTGTGGCACACGATGCGTCTCCATAGGATTGGCGGCCCGGTGGGTCTACTGAGTCTACTGGCTTATGGTGGGCATAGTGATGGTGTCGCTGGCTCAGCTCACCTACTGGACCCTGACGCGGTTCGTCTATGTCCTGATCCAGTATTTGGTCGGCCGTGCGCCCTGGGATGAGGTACTAACCCACCATGTCGCACTCCTTTCCGACTCGTGTGGTATGGACCCACCGCGGTGGGCGCGGGCAGGTGGCTTGGACAGCGCAGTATGTCCAAGACAAGCTTAGGGGAAGAGGGGTCTGTCAAGCCCCGTTTGACCTGTTGGTTACCGACGGGACCGCGCTCGCCCGCTTGCGGCATGGCACGGTTCGGGGACGCACCAACCGCCATGGGTTTACTTGCCCTTGCGATACGGTGCATGGAAGCTCCCACCGTTATTGGCGACGCGCGCTTGAAGGGGCGAACTGCCGGGTTCACTTTTGTTCCCAACCTCCTTGCACTGCACCTGAAGCGGCGGAGGTGCATGTTACCTCCAGTGCAGTGGTGCCGCGAGAAGTCGAGATTGACCTCACTGAGCTTGCTGGGAAGGGGCCTTTTGGCAGATGTCTGACGGCCACATGGTTACTCACCGCCCAAGGGTTTTACCTTTGGAAGTCGTTGGGTAGTTGCATGTGTTCTTTCCGCCGCAAGTGCTGTCAATTCTGTGGATGCGGTGCACGCCCGCGGCGCGGTCCGCGCCCGGGGGGCGAGCATGGCCCGGAACCCTCTCGCCTCTTGCACGAGTGGTCGGAGACTGAGAGCGAAGGGGACGAATAATGCCCAAGCCTGCCAAGCTGACTAACTTGCTTGGGAGGAGGGGGGTAAAACACACGCGCTGGGTAGAGAGCCCTGTAAAGACCTCGCGCTGGGGGACAGCATTCAAGTACTGCCAGCCGACATGCGCGTCAGCGACAGGGCAGGCCTGCAAGAAGAGAAGACGGCGTATGGTACGCTAGGCTTTGCCCGCGGCACGCCGCCCTGTATGGGCATGCTAGTTCGCGGCGCAAGTGTGCGGTGGAAGGCTGCGTGGAACTCAGCCGTACCACCAAAGGTGGAGTGCGGCTGTGCAAGCTCCACGGCTCCAAGGAGGAACGAAAACCTCCCGCCAGTTCCGTCTCTAATAGACCTTTGGAACCTGACAAGCCGACCCCGCGGCGCGCTTCCGCGCCCGGGGATGCTGGGGCCCCGTCAGACGGCCCGACTACCCCGCGGAACTCCCCGACTAGGCCTCGCAGCACTTCTACACCACCGGGTGTTGGGCGAGCTCAGGGCGAGACTGAGCCTCAGCTGCTCAGCCTTACGTGGGATGAGGTTGCTAATCTCCCGGACCCCGCGGTTCGCTTGCGAGCAATTCGGGCGAAGACTTCCACGGGACGAGATAGTGAGGAAAGAGCCGAACCATCAGGGAGGCAAACTGGTGCTCAACGTCGCCCTTGGGCAGCCCGCTGCCAAGGCTCACCTGGCGGCTTGCCAAGAGTACGGCCTTGACCCTCTCTCGCATCCCTTAATTGTGCAGTTGGCCGCTCGAGAGTACCTGCCTCGGCTGCCCTTGCAGGCGACTTGCGCGGAAGGTTTTAGAGGAAGTTGCCGAGCACGGTCAAAGCTGTCGGCGATCGGCCGGCAGGAAGAGAGACTCGTCTTTCTTCTCCGGGGGTGCGACAGCCTCGATGTGCCTCTGGCCGCTGGCGTGGTAGGCAAAGAGCTCTTCCACAGCCTCAGGGCTGCAGCCACTCAGGCCAGACCGAAGTTACGGCAGTTGCGCTTCCCAGTTAACTTGACAAACCGCCTTTGCTACGCCTTGGCATCGGCCAGCTTTGGAGCGAAGGATGTAAAATCCTTGCCACTACTGCGGGTCAGCTGCAGACTTCCTTCAAACCGAAGAAGCAGACTTTGACGCGTACGCAAGCCCTCCTGACCTCAAGCTCGAGGCACGTCCCCGGGGCCCTACAACCGTCAGCACTTGGCTGCGGAACGCACTTCGGCAAGCATGGGGTCTAGCCTGTGTCTACGGCCAGCAGCATTATGCGGTTTGGGAAGCCGCCGCCCTTCACCTGACCAAGTTGGGGGAGGAGCACAGTTACGCATGGCCGGCGCATGTTATTTTTGACGCGTGGGAAGAGCTTTGGGCCCGCTTCTTCGAGGAGCTGCGGGAAGTCGACCGGGAACTCCGGCGACTCATGCGTGAGGAGTCCCCTACTTTTGACCGCATGAAGTTTGTGGCAACAGCTCCCAACTCCGAAGGCCAGCCCTGTGGCTTCGCTTGCCGGGAACTTTCAGGTTGGATGACCCGCAAAAGTACTTTACCACCGATGTCCTTGATCGGCTCCAACGGCAGCCGTCTCGAGCCGCATGGGCACAGGCACTGCGCGGGCCCTCGCGCGCAACCCTCCCTAGCGGAGGTGGCAGGGCTGGAGATGCCTCGGGGGATGGGCAGACGGGCCAACCTGGGAAGACTGAGGATCCGCCCACCCGCGCTGGTGGAGCAAGTAAGGGTGGCGGCCCGCCTCCTGCGCTCATAGGGCCGCGGCTGACTCCTAAGGAGACTTCAAAGGCCCTTGAGCACCGACCTCGAGATGCCGAAGGACACTTCCAGTGCTGGGATTTCTTCACTCACCGAGGCTGCAGGAAAACAGACTGCAGCTTGTCGCACAAGGGCTCGCTCAAATGGAAAACCCTGGACTACACAATTAAGCTCCAGCTCCTTCGTCGTGGAGGGCTGCGAAGTGCGGCGAAGCGATCCAGTTTGATGAGCTGGTCAAGGAAATGACAAGCTTGCACAGCCTGGAAGCCCAGGATCAAGCTGCTAAGGTCCAAGAGGGGGGCGGCCGGCGTAAGTCTGGCCGCAAAACCACTCGGGCCGGGAAGGTTTCGGGGACTACTCCGACCGAGCCTCCTGTTGACCCGGCATCCGGCACTCGGGCAGGCGAACTTGATGCCGAGGCCCAACTCCCCGAGGCTCGCTTCGAGCCCGGGAAGACGGGCACTCACGCCAGCAACGAGCCACCGGAGGAGCTCCGTCAGGCTACACCCTTCAAGAGGAGGGCCTTCGTAAACTCGTCCAGGGCGCGGATTATGGACCAAGGACGCGCCAAGGCAGCTGCGGAGGAGTTGCCGGCTGACTATGAGTCACCGGGACACGCAATGCGAGCGGTCGAAGCCTTGTTAGCGTCACAGGACCCGCCCCTTGCCGGAATGCCAGACTTGCTCACCGTGTTCGTCCGGGACTACCTTCTTCACGATGAATCCCAGGCTTCTCCACAGGAGCGGCTGCAGGCCTGCTTCCAGGTCACAGCCACACTTGGGGGGCCTGAGCTCGCATCACAGGCGGCAGACTACCTGGAGTCCACTCAGCGGTTATCCCATGTGGGTTCGGTCTCCGCTTCTGCGACGGTCGGCCGGATTAGCTGATTAGCTGGGATGGGGACATCGGTTTCGGCACCTTCGAGTACGATGGGACGCATTGGCGCCAGTTTGATTACCAGGACCGGCTCCCACTTAGCCCTGAACTGCAGGCCCTTTTGGGGCGTAGCGAGACCGAAGAACCCAAGCAGTGTATGCTGCTCCACGTCGCCGCTGGAGTTCTGGCCACAGAGGGTGAGTTGCCAGCCGCACAGAGCCTAGGACAGGTTGCCCGCGAGGCTATGTACCATGCGGCGCGTGAGGTCGAAGCCCAACTCGGGCCGCCTCCGGAGTATCTCACGCGCGCGGAGGCCGACTTCAGAGTGTTCAACCATGACGTGTTGCATTTTGGCCATGATCGGGACTATCGCACCTTGGTTGCTTACCCGCAACCTTGCTGGGAGCATCTGACATTCGGAATGTGGCGGGTGGAGCCCCGCGGTAGTACCCTTGTTGAGTATCTTGTAGGTAGCCGCTCCACCGCAGGGGGCCCTGTCGTATGGTTGCTTGTCCACAAGGGGCACATGCGGTTGCTCCTCCGCCCGCCTTTGCGACTTTTCCGTTCGGGCGTGAGCTCCTCATGGTTGGTTGGGAGCCCCACCTCGAGGCGGCGAAACCGGCCGAGGCCTGTCTTCCGGCCCGCCGTGTTCTCGCCTGCCCGGTGTGTCGGGCGGACGCTCCCGCTCGGGCGTTTCACTCGGGTTTTGTCCCTCCGACGTTTGGTTTGCAGCCGCTGCGAAGAGGTTGTGTCCTCCACGAGGCTTGTTTCAAGCCCGGGGCACTGGTTGCTTCAGCCCGAATCACTGCGGAGGACATGGAGCGTTTTTTCGGGTGCACGACGTTCCGCAAATTCTCGTTCTGGGCTTTCCCGGCCCGGTTTCGGGTGCGACCACTCTAGGGGACCCGCACTGGGCCTTTGCTGCAGAACCCCGCGCGAGGGCGGCGCTTCTTCACAGCTGCTCGATAGCTTCGAGGGTAATCGCGTCCTCTTCTGGGTCGGGCCCGAGCTTGTCATGCCTGCCGGGCCGTTCCATGCTTTCGTGGAGTTCCTCGGCGTCCTTCAGGCCCATGTCGAGGCACGCGGCCTGGCATCGCCTTTGGACGCACAAGTGTTTTGTGCTCACCTCGTGAGAGCGCTCGTGGGATCGAGCGCGGGTCGACAGCTGCGCCTTGCCCCCCGGGTGGGGGGGCGTGTTTGTCCTGTGCGTGGTTGGCCGGCAGGCGCCTGCGCCAACTCCCATGTTGGGGGTTGTCGCCTCCGCGCTCCTGCTCTCCGTCCAGGCTTTGACCGGGGGGGCGGGGGCGGGGCGTCACGCTTTCGGGTCCTTCAGAGAAGCTGGCGACCCCGAGGCGGATGCACCGGTGCGCGGCCTCTCCGCGCCCCACATGGCCGGGACCGGGGGGTTTCCCGCCCGGTCGGGTGCGGTGGAGAGGGCAGAAAGCAGCATCGAGCTTTGACCTGAAGGGTCACCCTTGGCCGAGCCACCCGCTGCAGCTTTGGAAGACGCCATAGGGGCTTACCTGGACTGCGTGTCGGGGGCACCTTATACTCCTGAGAGGTTCGCCGAAGCTGCACGTTTGGGCGTCAAGGCTCGCGCGGCCGCCTCGTCCTTTCCGGAAGATTTGAGGGCCTTACGCAGGGGTTGGACGCTACGTCAAGGTGATCATTTCCGCGGCCTCTTCGAATCCGCGCTGGACGACTTGCTCCCTCCGGATCTCCTCCTTTGGCTCAGGCATACGGCTAAACTCAAGGAGTTGACGCTCGGTATGAAGGCGATCGCCAGCGCGTGCGGGCCTCTCCGCAAGGGTAAGATCCGTGCCAGACGTTCAGCGGGATGTTGCGCAACGGGCACGCGCGGAGTCGGAGTACCTCAAGTCGCTGACGAGATCCGAGCCCTCGAGCAAAGTAACCCGGTCCGCCCCTCAGCAGGCGCCCCCAAGACCTCGGACGCCCGCCTGCAGCAAGCGATTGCCGCGGGCATGCCCATTTTTGGTGGAAAGGCGTAAGCAGAAGGGGCGGGAGAGAGCTGCTCGCCATCGGGAGGCTCAGGCTGCCTAAGCTGCAGAAGCGAGAGCAGCGGCGACCAGCTTGATAGCCGACCTCCCGGTTGACCAGCGCGGCCCTGCGCTTGACGCAGAAATGGACCGCCCAGCCCCCCTCTGCAGTCCCCCCTTAGTTTTTTAGGAAGGGCTGTTTCGGTCCACGAAGAGCCAGCAAGGCGGTAGTGCTTGTGGTGTCACGGGCGGGCCTTTAGGCTTAAGGGGGGCTCAGAGCCGTTTGAGACCGCAACCGGGGCATGCGGCCCCCTGCCGCCTCGGGTCTATGATGCAGCTCACAGGCGTTAAGGCTGTATGGGGTCGCCTGATTCTGTTGCAGGGTTTGGTCGAAGAAGAGTATACTTCGCCTGCCTCTGCATACTCTGTGTGTCGTTATGCTCTGGGGGCTTGGCGTCGCTCTGCCTTGCAAGCGGTGCCCACACCTCACAGAGCATCGAGCCGGAGCTCGAGAGGATCAGCTAGCGCTAGTACGGCTCCCTTGACTTCCAGCAAATGGCGGAATGGAACCAGCGTTTTCCTCCGTCATGCCCCGTCTCAAGCGCTACGGGTAGCCAGAGTGGGGCCCAATCTGAGGGGGGGGGCGTCATCCTCCGATGCACCACCGGACCCCCTCCGAAGGCCCCGCCGCCGACACAAGCCTGGGTGGGCCCTGCTGCCCCCCGGCGGCTTGCATCGAGTTCGGGGCGTGCCAGGCGCGGCCTGCCCCGGCACCGGGAGGAGGTGACGATGAGTTGCATGCCTCCTCCCCCGCCAATTGTCGTCGCAGCGCAGGGTACCATTTGGCATTATCGCAACTGCCCCGTATCCGTAAGCGAGAGGTACATGTCATAGTTGCCTGTCGTGACTGCAACCCCGGCCCGGACCCCACGGGGTTTGAGGCCACGCCTCGGGGGCGGGCCTGGCATCGCCAGACCTGCGGACACATCACTGGGCGAGGCACTCGCACCCTGGAGCGATGCCAATTGTGCCATGCGCAGCACCTTCGGAGGAACCCAGGCAATGTCCGCCGCCGCCGTCTCCTCCCCCAGGGGAGGACGACGCAGAGAGAGACACAAACCACGCAACAGCGCACCCTCTAAAGGGGGGAGCGCTTGACGCTCGCGAACGCGACTGGGAGGGGCGTTTGGCTTCTATTTAGCAGCTTGCATCTTCCTCCTCATTACCAGCTGTGCCTCCTTCACCTTGGGCCGTGGGCAGCCGGCGAGCGCGCGGTCCTTACGGCAGGGCAGGGGACCTACGCGTCGAGCCGGTGAAAGTGGGCCTGGCTCTCCACCTGCGGCTCGCTCCGAGCCCGGGATGGGAAGACCCCATGCCCACCGGTGTGACTCCACAAAGCGGGTAAGATTCGCAGAAGAAGAACCGGACGTGATCCCTCCGCTCGCTAGTCAGTCCCGTGTACCTTCGGCAGAGCCAAGGCCACGCCACCCCCGGCTTCTGAACTGCGTAAACGCCCCGACCTGGTGCAGGTCCCGCACTTGCAGGGGCCTGCGGGAGCCAAGGCTCGTTGGCCGGCGGGTACCGTCTTCCAGTTGGGCGCGGTGGGGCCCGATGATTGGGGGGCGACTGCCCTCCGCTACATTAAAGCGAGGCTGGCCACGTCAACCCAGCGCCTCTATGCGTCTCACTGGACCTGGTGGTCACTGTTTTGCTCCAGGCGCGGGATATCTCCGTACCGGCATGTTCCGACCATGAAGGCGAGGAATCCTTATTCCTTGACTTTATTTTACATACGTCGCTTAATGGGCTCCGCTCCCATGGCACCATCAAGATGAGATTGGCGGCTATTAGAGCTGAGCACCTGACCGTCGGCTTGCCCAATCCGCTGGCGCAGTTTCCTCGAATCCCCCTGGTGCTTGATGGAATAAAGCGGAAATATCCCGCACTCGAGAGGCGCCACCCCGTTACGCCCGCCATGCTCTTAGCAGGAGCTAAGCTGTTGCAGCATGAAAGGGATGGTAAGGTGATTTTGCTTGCGCCTCTCCTCGGTTTCTTTTTCCTTCTCCGGGCTTCAGAGCTGATAGGGGACGCCTGGCATGGACGGACTCGGGGCTTGCGAGGATGCGATGTTGTTTTGCTCTGTGGCGGGAAACCCTGCCCGGAGAAGGAACTTCGCAAAGCAGATGAGCTGAGAATCTTTATCCAGAGCTCGAAAACGGACATGTATAATGCCGGAGCTTCGCGCAATCACTTCGCTACCGGTTTAGAGCTCTGTCCTGTTCGATCCGCAATTGAAGTCTTCCAGCTCTACCCGCAAAGGTACCTTGGAGGAACCCAGCAAGATGAGCACCTCCTTCGGGGGGAGAAGGGAGATCTCCTCACTCACGAGGCAGTTCCTGCAGCTGGTGCTCCAGCAATGCGCTGAGCGTGTGGGCGAATCACCCTCTTTCATCAAAGTGCATTCTTTGCGCTTTGGTGGAGCGAGCGCCCCCTGGTCTAGATTCTAGTCTAGATACCAGAATGCCGAACTTATTAAAAGGTACGGTAGGTGGACTTCCAATGCTTACCAGTCGTACCTCTGGGAGTCACGCGAGTCCGCCCGAGGAGTCGCAGAAAGCATGGCCCTCGCAGACTTGACCCCCAGCTGACTTGGGCGCTCGGCCCACTCCTTATTAACCGAGGTGCGTTCCGTGCCCGGTTTCTCGTGGCCAGGATCTCATTTTGTGCATCCTTGTGCATGGCCCCTTTTACCGCAGGGGGACCCTTTCATGGCTTCCCCTTTCCCGAGGCGAGCTTCTTGCCCGGGCCCCCTTTGTCGGGGCTTTTTCTTCCTTTGCAGAGGGGGGTGGAGCAGCGAAGCTGCAAAGACGACTTCGTTCGTCGCGCGCTGCCAAAAAGGTGTGTAGTGCTTCGGAGTGTAGGAAACTTGGTAGCCTTGTATAGCCGTGTAGGCGTAGAGTTTCCTGTTCACCGTAGCACGGGCTCAAGGGTACCACACCCGCCCACCCCCGCAGCGAAGCTGCAAAGACGACTTCGTTCGTCGCGCGCTGCCAAAAAGGTGTGTAGTGCTTCGGAGTGTAGGAAACTCTATATAACACCTGCACTTGTTATTGCATGCCTTAACTGTACACTCTGGTCTTGCGTGTGGCAGAACCTCGCAGCAACCGAACAAAGTACTCGGCGAAGCCTGAGAGAAAGAAAGGGGCAGGGCATATTTGGAACCATGAACAAGGGCCAGGGGTTGGGGGCCAGAGGCAGGGGGCCAGGGGGGCGAGGGGGATCAGGCTAGGGGGCCACGGAGGTTAGGAGGGGGTTTAAGGCACGAAACCACTGCCTGGTCAGGGTTCCAAGGGGCACGGGGCTCAGGGGGGCCATGGCGGTGCGAACGGACGTCGATGCCTAGTCCAACCGTAGGTATCGCGACATTGAGCTATGCCACCACATGTCTATGACGCTTGTATAATAGCGGACAGAAGCATGCTAGTCATCTTCTGATCCTCAGCTTCCAATGGGAACACCTTGGGCCTGTTAAACAGACCAAGCGTGTAAACCATCAGTGAATGCTACCGCATGCAACGCAACTTTGGCTCAAGAATGAGCTACCAGCTCATGTACCTAACTAGCCAAGGTAGCAGGTGATCCTTTCAACAAGTAGCTGAGCTGTCCCGAACACAGATCATCGACCTTCTGCCGTCGAGACGACAAAAGAAGAGTTCGCGTGTGCCTGCAACGGAAAGACGTTGAAGAGCACCAATCTTACAGCTATTACCTTCGGCAGATACTACCACTACGAACACAAGCTTTCGGTGAGGGGAGCGAATTACTATTACTGGATATCATCGATACAAGCCCTCACGCAATTGGAAACCTTTTCCTTAAACCCTATAAGCCCCAAGGCCTGGATGGTACGTAGTACATACGGAAGGGCTCGCAGGTTTTTGGGCTTGGGGTTTGTTCTGTTGGAAAGCCAGCACTGCTGCTCATGTCGTAGATTTTAGGTTCAAAATGGTAGTGGTGCTGCAACAGCGCAGGACAAACGGCAGACCAGCGCCATGAGGGCCGTGATCTTCTTTGGCTTGGTGGCCGCGTCTGCTGGATACGGATTGTACCACGACAACTCCGTTACATTTGCCGCAGAACATAGCGGAAAGTTGCCAAACATGTTGACTTTGACTGGTATGGCATTCACGGTCCGTGCTTTTAGCATATCGAAAGGCCAGGATCCAAACGGCAACATCGAAGTGGGCCAGCGGCAGGCGTTTGCAGGCTCCAGTGGCAAGTTTGTCTTTCGGATCGGGCGCCACAAGACCCCAGAAGTCGCCACCTGGTTCAAGCACGAACTGAAAGGGACTAACAAGTGCACCTTCTTCCACTACCCAGGCCCCCTCAACTTCGCCTTGAGAGGCGACTTGGAAATGCGAGTGAACCGATCTTCGACATTCCAGACCCACCACCTGATCAAGGATGTGCTGATCGCGCAAGGCCAAGCTGGAGCGATGAACAATTGGTGGTTTGGAGGCAAAACGTGTTACAAGGCCGATTACGACGATTCTTCTGATCACCGCATTCATTGCAGAAGTGAGGAAAATGTTGATGGCGAAGTGGCCAACGTCCGTTTCCAGAATGGGGGGCATGTCCCAGTTAACAAAGTTCGTGTCCAGCAAATTGTGTTTGAGCACAAGAAGCCGAGACGTGGCAACCAGACCTTTCTTGCGGCGTTGCCAAACACCAAGAACACAGGTCTTCCAGTGTGCGGCAATGGTGCGCCAAAGGGCAGCATGACTTTGCCAGCGGAAGGTGCTGTTGCGCTGACACTCGGCAACCAGACCACGCAGACACTTTTTCCATAGGCATCATTGGTCGGCACTGCAGAATAGCCATTGCCGATATCGTTTTTTTAGTTGCTGTAGCTGGGACACCATGGATTGATCTGTACAGCGGCATTCTGCCCCCTGCCAGAAGCACCAAGCAGTTTTTAAACAGATTCCAGCCTGAAGACGAGCAAGGCCCGC